ATATAGGTTACTTTGTTTCATAAAGCGCAAAAAAGACAGGCATATTTGTTTTTAAACGCCCCTAAGGGCTTCAAACAATAGGCCCCCCCCATTTCAACAAATTAGTTTTTTTTAGACTAGAAGAGTTCTGCCTTTTAAGACAGGAAAGTATAGCAGTTAAAGTTGCTAGTTGAGAAAATACTTAACCATAGAGATAAAAAATAGCCCTGTGATTCAAATTATAAATTGTATTTGGAATAAAAATGAGAGAACTAGGGGTGCTAAAAAACAGATCCTCCAAGACAGATATTTACATGGGAATGTGGCATATAATTAATTGACATATTACTGATCTTGCTGGATTTTATTCTGCTTTAGTTCCTTAAATTGCAGGATTTTCTTTACTTTATCTTTGCCAGAAGATTTAAACTTTAAAAGCCTTGCACTCATAATTTGCAAGTTGATTTATTTATAAAGAAAATATAAACGCTGCTTAAGCTAATTCAAATGAAATTAAAAGTAAAATAAGTAGCCAACCTTATCACTGTCTATAACCTACTAACAAGGTAAGGAAAGCATCAGATGAGCTACCTGAGAAACTAACGTTACGTTTCCTCTCTTTAAAAAGAAACAAACATGGTGGTTCCGTGCCATGTTAATTTGTTTTGACAAAAGTTGCATTTTACGACTTTTTTTACTTTACAAAGCGCAGGCTATTTTAATTATTGTGATCAATTTGCGCCGTCAATCCCGGCGCATGCGCGCTTCATTTGCAGTCTGGACGCTGAGGGTAAACATCCTGCGGCTCTGACTGCAGCGCTGAGACAGACTCCTGCGGGAGAACGGGGTTGGGATGGGGCAGCCGCCCCACGGCAGAGTAGGAACGATACATGCTTTCACGTAAGAGTCTCCAAAAGCCGCCAGTGACACCGTAAAAAGTCGCCAGATTTGTCGCTAGTCGCTTTTTTGAAAAATAGTCGCTGGAGGGGTCTGAAAAGTCGCTGAGTTGGCAACACTGCACACCCACAGCGCTGGCTCGCTCTGTCGTATTTTTTTCTCTTCCCCCGTTTCAGTCAAGTGGATGTGATGACGGCGGCGGCAGATGACGCATTAATCGCGCGACACAACTAATCGATGATGAAATTCGTTGCCAACGCTTTTAAAAGTCGATTTTAATCGATTTTATCGATTCGTTGTTGCAGCCCTAGTTTATATTTTCCAATAATGAGCTCAAACATATATTTATTGAATGCTTTACTATTGTTGAGAACACAAGAGTACCACAGTACACTGATATTTATGTTATAGACAGATGCCTGCCTTTAGTGCATTGTTTTATAAAGGGTTCAAAAACATTAATGTATATAAAATGACGAATAACAGCCGATACAAATGCCAACATCAATATATCATGCATCCCTAGAATGGACACAACTTCACTTCCATCAATCCATCCATGCCTGGCTTCCCTTTAAGCGGCATCAGTGATTATCCTCCTTCGCAAGCAGCAAAATCAAATTTAGAAATTTTTCCCAAACGTTTTTGACAGCCAAAGTCTATTTATTGAATCTTATATTTCAAAAATCATGTATACACTGAATTGTATTATTTGTGCTTTAATTCTGGTAGGTTTCTTATACTTTAATTTTAAGTCTGTGTCGCATGAGTCTGGCTGCCTCTGGGTAGCTGGCACAGCTAATTTTTGATTCTTGTTGAACTACAAAAGGCAAAATTATATGTTGAATTTTATTATAACATTGCATATTTTTTCTTGTAAACTTGGAGATATATTTTATTGCATGTTGCATATCTCAGTAAATCTGTTTCACCTTTAAATCAGCAGCTCTCCCTCATTGTGTCTCTGCTCTGCGTAAAAACAGATTTATGAACCTGTCTACCAATATAATGATGCCTGAGAAAATCATTTGCAGGATCTCTAGAAGCTCTGCAGTCTGATTCTCTGTTCAATACGAAAACAACAGATCTGTGTTCATTTTAATCTGTAACTCTGAGTAAGGGTCCTGAGAAGCCCAGCTTTTTTAACTTATGTACAATCTGCTGCTATTTTTAGCTGAAAAAGGTCTGTATGTGTAACTGACAGATTTTTGGGGGGCATCTCTGATTTGTTTAACCAACCAGTCTCCTTTATTTAAACATATATCGGAACAACTGCCAGTTAAAATTAACTGAGTGTTGCTGCGAATGTATGTTAAAATGGCTTGCCACAGTTGTTCAGACGAAACCAACTGTATGTTAAAATGGCTTGCCACAGTGGTTCAGACGAAACCAACTGTATGTTAAAATGGCTTGCCATATCCGTTATCTCTTCTTATCCTCGTAACTACTCTGTACGCAGTAAATATCCCAAAGCTACAGATCCGATGATATTTCACCGAGAGGTGGGACTTGAGAACAGCGGCAGAGCAAGGAAAAAACACGGGCTGAAAACGCTCTGAACACACAGCAGCATCAAACCCCAGTTACTGTTGGCTGAAGTAATTCAGCGGAAAGGGGGAAAAAAGCAGAAGTTATTGGTGGGGAATGTCCCCACCATGCCCAAAGTTGGTGGGAACATGTCCACACCAGTCATTCAGCAAGTTACGCCAGTGCCTAAAAGCTTAAGGAATTTAGATATTTGTGTTGGTTTAATTGGTCCTAAATTCCAACTGGAGATTATTAAACTAGACTTAGCAATAATTACTTTACTTGTGAGCAAAACATGGACTCAAACTGGGACTAAATCAGGTGGCTAAATTAGAGCAAACAATGATTAAAGCACTAGAAACAAGAAAAAGCACTAGATGTAGAGAAAACAAACCATCTGATGTTAATTTGATGTGATCCTATACTCAGTCTCCACATTGATAATTAAGCTAGCTGCTGTATATTTTATTCATATTTACTCAATTACTTTGCTTCAAATATTCATTAATTTACAAAGTGAATTATCTTAGTCCAGATAAGATAAGATAAAATTCAAATGACAGGCCTCGTAACAACTGCTCAGAAATCCCAGTATTTTTTCAATATCTGGCTCAGGCTAAGCTCTGCTGTTGTCAGTACAGTGAATATGTGAGCGTGTGCAAAAATACGGACTGGATATGAATGGCATTCCTTCGTGTGTTAGACTAAGGTTGCGTTGAAAATGCGGAGTGGATTTTTATCAGCATGGTATTTGGTCTGTCATTTTTTAGCATGAAAAATTGGAGTGTGGAGTGTATATGGAGTGAGTGTGCAAAGACACTGAGATGCAGGAGTCTCACGCCCAATGGGTGAGAGTTTACAGCCCTGTAATATTGGCTTCCAGCCGCCACAAATAGTAGGTCCCCAAGAGTCGAATGGGCCTGGGGCAGCTGCTGCTGGATTCCCAGTGACAGCGCACTATGCGTAAGTATGTGGGGGTTTAGATGCATCTGTAAACACTTTACTGACCTTTATGTGTACAAGCATTTAAAATGAAGCAGCAGCTTTTTTGATACTCAGAGCACATGCGGTGTGAACGTAGCATTACACTTTCTGATTTTTTAATTAACCTATAAAACAACATTGTACCTTAAAATTATTGTCTTCCTTATTAATTCAAGTGTTCCCATCAGGTGATTTATGCAAATAGGTTACAAGTATGTCTTCAATGTAACAAGCTGCTACAAATAGCTAACAGATATGGTTGCCTACGGGTCCTACTTCTGTGAAGAACAAAGAGTTTGTCCAGTGTAGAGTAATAAACAAGCTAGCCCTCTCTGCAGGTAGGACAGAGTAGTTGCTGGACTACACTGTCCTGTTTCTAACCTTCACTATGGAATTAACTTTCTTGTGAAGTAGGAAACCTGCAGCCTCTGGTTTTAAAGCCCTGCCACCTCATGATTTATCTCTGCCTGGTAAAAGCTACCCTGATGTAGACTCCCTTTTTTCTACCAGTTATTACTTATTATTCTTTCTCACTGGCCTTAGAGTTTGCTCAGCCATGTCTTTGCCCAAATAAGTTGTTGGCTTTCAGTACAAAATGGCACAAATTAACAAGGCAGCGTATTTCACTCTAGTGAGCTTCATATTCCTCTTCTACTCATTTGGCTTCCTGATAGAGATAGAGTCAGAGTAGCTCCATCTCACTGTGGAGCTGAGTCTGACATGGTCTTCACAAGTACAGTGAGAGCAGGTAGATTGCATCAGAGTGTCGGCCTGAACAGACATTGTGAGCTGTGAACTTACACTGTACGACAAAACCCTGCGGTTTTGTCGTACAGTTTGAGCTGTAGCTGTGTTCAACGATTGAAAAAAATTTCACAGTGTATGCCTGGGTTTAGATGCCGACGCTGTTCACTGCAGTTCCGTTTCTAATAAACATTTTGAGAAATTTGTCTTTCCGCCTCTAATACTTGGTCCTAATGTTCTGCGTTTGACAGCTACAGAAACTGTACTTTGCACTTTCTTGCCACTGGATGAAAGGCTATGCTTTTATTTATTGACTATAGGACAAATGAAAATAGTGGGCTGTTTGTTCTAATTGTGTTATTCATGGTCAAGCTATCAGATAAAAATATTTTGCACTTTAATCAAATAATAAATTCCAAATTTATTTAATGAAACTACATTACCTTTTAATTTAACTTTCCATATAAACATAAGCCTTAGAGAAATAATATGTTCCTTAAAATATATTAATCGATTTTCTTTTTTATTTCTGGCTGGCAGGAATAAGGCTTGACCGATAAATCATTTTGTCTTCAGGTCCATTTGGACGGTGGGTCAAAAAGTAAATTTCAGACCCTAATTGTACCCTTTTGGCTATCATAATGAAATATGTGAATTCTAAGCTATTGGTTTTCCATGTGACTGTTATTGGACTTTGGCACAATGTGTGTTTTTTTCTAATAAAAAGCCAAATTAGTTACAGACTGTCCCTTTAAAACTAGGCAGGATTTCTTCATGAAAAAACTTTAATGTTTTTAACATTTCCTGTAATTTCTGGTTATTTCTCAGCGATGGCGAGATATACTAAAACATTGTAGTTTAAAGCCTACCACAGAGCCTTTGGATGTGGACCTCTGATCTTTGCTTGTCATCAAAGTCGTGCTATTATATCCAAGTGTCGTTTTTCCTAAAAAAATAAAAAAATTATTCAATTCAGTTTATGTATATAGAACCAATTCACAACACATGTCATCTCAAGGCACTTTACAATTCAAGCAGATCATAGAGTCAAACCGATTCAAAGTTTTCTATCTAAGGAAAACCATTTGACTGCATTGACTCAAAGGTAATCCCCCCACACCACTCATGCTTGTAGCGAAAGAGGAGAGGAAATCTCCCTTTTAACAGAAAGAAACCTCCAGCAGGCCCGGCATGAGCAGCCATCTGCAGAACCCTACTAGGGATCAAGAAGACAGAAAGAAAAAAGCAGAGATACAAAATGCAACTGTCAACCAGCTTCATAAGGAAACACACAGCCAGGCAGACGAGCTCCGAGCCAGCCCCCACGTCAGAGGACGAAGAGAGCAGATCCAGCCAGTCACAGTCAGAGAAACAGGACCACACTGTGAAACAGGCCGAGCTCCAACATCTATAAACAAAGGTGTTGATGGCAGTAGCACAGCTGATATTTCAGCTGTGCTACTCATGCACTTTTGGAGGACCACTATGTTGGGGTGTCCATAGTCTTGGTGACTGTGGGTACTTAACAGGTGGGCCTACTTTAACTCATTGTTAAACAGCCCGAAGACGGGATTCCAACTCTGATGCCCTTGCCTCCAAAGCTTAAAAAAATAATACACTTATCACACATCCCATTATCACTAAAGGAGGCAGAGGAATAACTAAACAACTAACACAGGAGAGCAGTAGAGAAGAGAGGAAGAAGAGCCTTAAAAGAGTCAAGGGAGGGAGAGAGAGCAGCCATAACTTTGCAAAGCTAGCCCAAGCCTAGGCTAGCTACTACTTACTACCAGAAATAAAACCGTGTGAAAGTGACAAGTGCTCAGTAGAAAAGTGTAGCATATGGCTGGTTAGTTACTTAGATACAGAGATATCACACAATAAAGAAACTTAATTCAGGCGGAGATAGCCTGAATACAAAGCAGCTCAGCAGTCAAAACAGGAAGTTTAACACGATAAGTCTCACCAACAGCAGCAGTAGCACCCTCTAGTGTCAGGATCTAATCTATTGGGATGCTTGTTATAAGTTGTCTAAGGAAATAAAGCAGGTGTTTGAAATAACTCACTTTCATGTGTGCTGCAGGAAAGCAGTTGAACCAAGCAGCCCGTAGGCATGGTGGCACTGGATTCAGGGTTGGAAGGCAAAGGGGGTGACCCAACTGTTCGCAGTCCTCCCGTTTTTTGCTTGTGTTTGCCTCTGACCTCTGTTAGGACTACCTGCTCTGGGACAGACAGGCAATGGGTCGCTGTGACAGGACCCAGTACCACATGGATCGGGTCAGATGCAGAGGTCGGGTAACAGTGGGTCTGGGAGTATGGGTCCACCCCTGGAACGTAAGTATGAGCCGGGTACACTGAGCCCTGGGCTCCGGTGGTGGAGGCCGTGTGAGTGATAACAGTGGGGGTCACAGTGGTCGTTGTGTAGAACCCAAACTTGTGAGAAGGCAGCGGGTTCAGGAAGGGAATACTTGCAGAAACCGGTTGGTCTGTGTTACTGGTGTATGCTGTAGAAACAGATGCATCATGGTATGACTGATGTCCATATGGCATGGCTCCTGACACTGTGCTGGGTGTATGGTACTCTCCACAATCCTGGCTCGCCCTGGCATGTTCTGAGCGTGGGCTGGATGTAGACAGCTGGGGCAAACCATCAGAAGACAGACTTGGCTGCAAAAAAAGAAAGGATTCACTTTATTTACAAGAACACTGGTTATAATTTCTAAAGTCAGATAAGAAGAAGCAGAATGGGGGTGAGGGTTATTTAATCAGCAGTACTACCTGATTTAGTTGGGGATTAATAAGTAGCTCAGGGGCTGTTACAACAGGAGATGGATGAGGAGCATAAGCTGTGATGGGTGGGCCTTCAAAGTAGCGACAGTCTGCAAAACTACTCTGGTCAGTGAGCTGACCTCGATAATTCAGAAAGATATCTGTAAACACACCACACACCAATAACAGGGTAATCAGACAGACATGTTGAATCAAAAACTTTCCTGGTTACAAATAAAAAGACATGGATATATACAGTATATACAATGCGTCCACATATGACAGTTTTATATTTTCTATTTTATTTTTATAGTAGGATCATTATACAGGGTAATTGCACATGGTGTTTTCATGGGTATTTATATAGAGGTCTGCTCACTCCAAAGTACATCAGCCTCCTCAGGAGTTGGAGATGGCTCTGGCCCTTCATATACAGGGCGTCACTGTTATCAGTCCAGTCAGTTTGTTATTGATGTGAACACTGAAGGTATTATAAACTCTCCACCATTTCTATGCCCTGCCCCTGGATGTTCAAGGGAGAATGAGGTGTGGGTCTTCTCCTGAAGTTGATCACCATCTCATTGGTCGTACTGGTGTTAAGACAGTTTGTTCTTCTTTCACCAGTCCGCAAAGTTCATGATCACTGATTGATACTCCAGCTTGCCCCCTTAGCAACACACCCTACAAGTCTTCTGGAGATGGCAGCTGTCCGTGTTGTAGGTGAAGCCGAGGCGTAAAGGGTGAAGAGGAACGGAGGCAAACGGTGCCCTGGGGGGCCCCGGTACTGCAGACAACCATGCAGTCGCATGTACTGAGGGCGTTTGGTGAGGTAGTTGATGGTCCAGGCAGCAAGATGTCTGTCAACTCCAGCATCCTCCAGCTTCCCCCTCAGCAGCTCTGATCTAATGGTGTTGAAAGCGCTAGAAAAGTCAAAGAACATGACTCTCACTGCGCTCCCGGTGGTCTCTAGGTGGCTGAGCGCCCGCTGTAGCAGTTACATGATGGCGTCCTACACTCCCGATGTCATGTCGGCAAGCAAACTGCAGCGGGTCCAGGGTGGGGCTCACCACAGTGTGCAGGCTAGAAAGAGGCACTCCATGATCTTCATCAGGTTGGAAGTTAGGGTGACTGGTCTAAAGCAGGCCAGTTCCTTGGCATGTGGGGTTTTGGGAACCCGTACCACACAGTACTCCATAGAGTAGGGACCACCCATAGCTGAGGCTCAGGTTGGTGATGTAGCTGAGGACCTCACAGAGCTCATCAGAATCGTTCCTCAACAGCTTTCCTCTGTTTAAGGCTCTTCAGCTGGCCTCTCACCTGCATCAAAATGACTGTGAGGGGGGAGGGAGGTATGTAGGTCGGACTTTCAGCTCAGGAGTAATACAGGGGTGGTTGTTTGGGAAGCTCCATAGCCGTCGTGTGGGCACCGTGCTCTCAACGCAGAAGGTCATGTAGTTAGTGATACATTCAAGAAGGCTGTTGATGTTATCACCATGAAAGCTTTGGAACATGCTCCAGTCTGTGGCTTTTAAACAATCCCTCAGTTTCTCAGTTGCTTCATGTAATTCTTTTAAGAGTTATTGGTTTATGTGTTGAATATGTAATTTCTTGTTTTACTGATAGATTTTTAATTATAGCAGGAATGGTCCTCTATAGTTTTGGGACAACACATTTAGATGACTTTGGTGTATATATCTGATCAGATTACACAATAAAAGCCTTGAGGGAAAAGAAAAAGAAAAAACTAAACTGTCATAACCAGATTCAAAAAGATTGGGAGACCTAGAATTGAACCGTTTCTTGCCTCAAGTCTTGATTAAAAGTAGTATTTATTACTTTTATGTGTTATAGACGTAATCAGACTACAACGTCTTGACGTCTGTGACTTGCAAAATTTTTCCAAATCTAAGATACCGAAACAAACTGTTCAAATGTTTTTTGTTAAAGTCCTAGGGAAGTCATATTTAAATGTCAAATCATTCTGGCAAAGGACACGTTTTGGAGATGAAACTTTGAAAAACATGTACTTAAAAAACATTTTTAAGATTAACCTACCGTATTTTCACGACTATAAGGCGCACTAAAACGTCTTTTTTTCCCCTCAAAATGTGCGGTGCGCCCT